GGGGGGGGGTTTACAGGTTATAGGTGGGTTTAAAGATTCTTTGGCTTGTAATTGGTTAAAGACATGAAGCTTTGTTTAAAGGCTTGCAGTGTTTTAAGAAAAGGAGTTGTTTATCAGAGATAAGCCACCTGTAGGTTTGTCTTGCATACCCTTAGGCTTGTTAATAGGTTATAAAGGATGTCCCCAAGAAGGGAGAGGGACATGATAAGGCATGTCTGACCTCCTTCCTCCTGGCAGGCAATTTAGTTTTGGGATATTCCTTTCGCCACGAAGGGGTCCATTTAGTCAGCCGGTGGGGGAGGGGAGGTGGTAAGCCTTAAAATTTTATTTTAGTTCACAGTGGTATCTAAGCAAATGTCTTGCAGAGTTTATAAATAACATGTAATTTTTAAAATGGGATCAGAATTTTATATTTTAAAAATAGAGGATTATATTTTTAATTTTGCATATTTTCATTCTAGTTGATCTACCACTATTGTAAAACATTTTGAATGCAATAAAATCTTAAGTTCTTATATAAGTTGGTATAAAAACAAAAAATTGTTACTTGCCCCTTTTTCTGAACTATGGGCTTTTTCTTTCTTTTCTTTTCTCTTATTCATTTATTATTTGCAGTTGACAAGCTCTTCTACAATGGGCTTTTTCTTTCTAATTTTTATTATAAATATTAGTAGTAAGTGTTCTATTGGATTATGGTGTCAAGTGTATAACACTTTGATATAAGGTATAATAATTTTGCTAAAATCTAAACTGAAAAATAGAGTGTGAATGGAAATCTTAAAGATTTTCACTTAATTATGTTTCCTGATGCCAAAACTTTTCTAAAGACATCTTTGAAGGGAAGTATACACAAAACAGTAAGAACTTAAGAAAGTTATTTATAAGCTGGCTGCAGGTAGCGCATACCTATAGTCCCAGCTACTTGGGAGGCTGGGGTGGGAGGATCCCTTGAGCCCAGGAGTTTGAGACCAGCCTGGGCAACATAGCAAAATTGCTTAAAAAAGAAAGCAAGCTATTTGCACCTTTCTGAAAGTGAAGTTAAGTCCTATTTAGTATTATGTAAAATGTAACCACTTTGGAATCCTAGCGGGACATCTCTTGAACCTGTTTTCTATTAAACTCTATTTATTATAACATTATTAGCAAAGATAGTAAACATTTCTACCTGGCATTCTTAGGTATTGGGTATTAATTATAAGTGAGTTATCCAGATATTGAAATATTTCTTCAAGTAAAAATTGTGTTCACGTATTGGAAACCTTTCTGGAATACTGTATGCTTCCCAGCCTTTTAAGAATTATATGACTAGATTACATTTGTTGTAGAAAAGAAAAAAAAAACAGCTCAGTAAGCTGATTATTTTCTCATGATAACATCACCGAAAGATATAAATAAAAAATTTTACATGAATCCTTCTATTTCTGTGGGTGTGTGTGTGTTTTTAATAAAAATGGGATCGTATCATACATACTTTTCCTGCTTTTTGCATTTCATACTTTTCTTAAACAGAGGTAACTAGACAACTGAATTTTATTTTATTTTTTTGAAACAGGGTTTCACTCTTGTCTGGGATAGAATGCAGTGGAGTCATCATAGCTCACTGTAACCTCACATTCCTGGGCTCAAGTGAATCTTCTTCCCTCAACCTTCTGGGACTAATGGGCATGCATCACCACACCCAGCTAATTTTTTTTTATATTTTTTGTAGAAACAAGGTCTCACTATGTTGCTCAGGCTTGTCTTGAACTCTTGGCCTCAAGTGATCCTCCTACTTGGCCTCCCAAAGTTCTGGGATTACAGGTGTGAGCCACTGCACCCGGCCAACAACTGAGTATTTTATTCCCTTATAACCTAGGCAAGAAGAAAGGAACTTGACATTTACTGAGTTCCTAAGTACTGCAGAGCACTTTATATTATCTCATTAAACCTGGATAGGAATGGCGTGACCCCATTCCTGAGCACAGGACTGAACTTTTTTGTACTTCCAGGACCAAAGCTTTGTCTTCCCCTATGCTCCCTGAGGGAATCCCCTTTTTCCTGTCTTCTTGTCTCTTCTCTCTGTGACCATTTCCAGATCCCTGATTGTTTCCTGTGTGCAGCTATGGATTTGTTAAAAGTTCTTACCTGTCTGCAGCTGTGGATTTCTGAAAAGTCCTTTGCCTTCTTTCTTCTGTGTGATCCCACTGCTTCAGAGAAACCATGCATCATCTTCAGTCGTCACTTTTATTCTTGGCTAGTGAGCTGGAGTTAACTAGCCACTGGAGCACAGTCTCAGTTGTCCCCAACTCCAGCTTCACCCCCACCTCCTAATGTTTCTTCTTTCTCCATTCCTTTTGATGGAAGGGATGGCATCTTACTTCTTAGAAATGAAAGGTGAAAACCATAACCCCAATTTGGACTAAGGGCTACTGAGGTACAGTTAATGGGGCAAAAATGTAGAAAAAGAAGAAATCCTTGAAGCAAATTGTTTTAAGTCAGGTTGGAATGAGTCATTCTAAAGGCCTGCTTATGGAAATCACCCCAGTTGGTAAACTCCCTGCCTTGGAGGCCAACATAATTGACACTGGCTTGACCATCTCCAAGAAGGAAGGTGATGCAGTCTCAGCAGGCATGCTTTCCTAAGATTATCAATCTTCAGCTAGTCCTAATTTAATTCTTTATCAGTCTGAGGTGACAAAAGAAATGCAGTGCTTTAAGAATATAAAATAAAACTTGAAATAGACTATTCAGGGCAGACATTTGGCCTTACTGATCACTGAATTCTCTGTAGATCTATTTTTGTTAGGTGAATGTAAAGCAAAATTAAGGTGAGATATAAGTAGTAATTTGAGGCAGTGGCATGTAGTTATTTTATGAGACCATATACATTTTACATGATCCAATAGTCTAAAATTTACATGTAGAAATTTACAATACTTTTTTAGCTGCCAGCTGAAGATGAAGTCTTACTACAGAAATTAAGAGAGGAATCCAGAGCTGTCTTTCTACAAAGGAAAAGCAGAGAACTGTTAGATAATGAAGAATTACAGGTAACAATGGACTGAAAAGTTGCTTTAGATGTTAACCATTTTATATTTGTACTACTTAAATCATGCAGGATCTCATGGTACCTAATGGAGTCAGTACTGCCAAATGCTACTGCATAGCCTCTAAAGCAGTGGTTCCCAACAGAATCAGATGCTGAGCTTACGTGGGCCATGTCCCTCAAGCATATTGTTATTTGTTTGGCTTATTTATTTTTGTTTAAGTCCTCTAGGTTATTCTAATATGCTGCCAAGGTTGAGAACCACCACTGTAGGGTCAGACTGCAGAAGTTCAAATCCTAGCCCTGCTGTATAACTTTAGGCAATGGACTTAACATCTCTGTGCTTCAATTCTCATCTGTAAAATAGGGATGACCACCTACATCACATAGTGAATTGGAGCCAATGTATATGAAAAACTTAAAAGTCAGTAGGCACTCAATAAATGTTAGCTATTTTTATTGTCATCAGTAATCAAAAGGATAATAGGGAGTGAGATTCATCTTAATATTAACTGTGCTATCAGGCTATCATTTTAATGGAAATGACACATTTAACTACATTTTAAAATTTTGTTTTTAACTTGTAACATCTTTGTTTCTGCAATTCTCTTAAGAACTTGTGGTTTTTGCTGGACAAACACCAGACACCACCTATGATTGGAGAGGAAGCAATGATCAATTATGAAAATTTTTTGAAGGTTGGTGAAAAGGCTGGACCAAAGTGCAAGTAAGAATAATAAACAAAGGAGTATCTTACGTTAAGCATTTTTTTTTTTTTTTTTTTTTTTTGAGACAGAGTCTCACTCTGTTGCCCTGGCTAGAGTGAGCACCATGGAGTTAGCCTAGCTCACAGCAACCTCAAAGTCCTGGGCTCAAGCGATCCTACTGCCTCAGCCTCCCGAGTAGCTGGGACTACAGGCATGCGCCACCATGCCTGGCTAATTTTTT